TAAACCAGGACCTAAACCAGGTCTAAACCAGGTCTAAACAGGTCTAAACCAGGACTAAAACAGGACTAAACCAGGACTAAACCAGGTCTAAACCAGGACTAAACCAGGTCTAAACCAGGTCTAAACCAGGTCTAAACCAGGACTAAACCAGGACTAAACCAGGACTAAAGAGTCTCAGTCGTCTGTGCCTCCTCCAGGTCTGGACACATTTGACTCGGGCTCTTGGCCCAGATTTAGTCGAGTCTAATTTAAACTGCACACACCTCCTCCTCCTCCTCCTCCACCTCCTCCTCCTCCACCTCCACCTCCTCCTCCACCTCCACCTCCTCCTCCTCCACCTCCACCTCCTCCCACTCCTCCACCTCCTCCTCCTCCACCTCCTCCTCCTCCTCCTCCTCCACCACCTCCTCCTCCTCCACCTCCACCTCCTCCTCCACCTCCACCTCCTCCTCCACCTCCTCCTCCACCTCCCCTCCTCCCTCCTCCTCCACCTCCACCTCCTCCTCCACCCTCCTCCTCCACCTCCACCTCCTCCTCCACCTCCTCCTCCCCTCCTCCACCTCCTCCTCCTCCACCTCCTCCTCCACTCCTCCACCTCCACTCCTCCTCACACCTCCACTCCACTCCCCTCTCCTCCTCCTCCTCCTCCACCTCCTCCTCCACCTCCACCTCCTCTCCTCCACCTCCACCTCCACCTCCTCCTCCATCCTCCTCCTCCTCCTCCACCTCCTCCTCCTCCTCCTCCCTCCTCCACCTCCTCCTCCTCCTCCATCTCCTCCTCCTCCACCTCCTCCTCCTCCTCCTCCTCCACCTCCTCCTCCACCTCCACCTCCACCTCCTCCTCCACCTCCTCCTCCACCTCCTCTCCTCCTCCTCCTCCTCCTCCTCCTCTCCACCTCCTCCTCTCTCCTCCTCCTCCTCCATTCTCTCCATCCCACCCCTCTCTCCACCTCCTCCACCTCCACCTCCACCTCCACCTCCACCTCCTCCTCCTCCACCTCCTCCTCCTCCTCCTCCTCCACCTCCTCCTCCTCCTCCACCTCCACCTCCTCCACCTCCACCTCCACCTCTCTCCTCCTCCCTCCTCCTCCTCCACCTCCTCCTCACCTCTCCTCTCCACCTCCTCCTCCTCCTCCACCTCTCCACCACCTCCACCTCCACCTCCACCTCCTCCTCCTCCTCCACCTCCTCCTCCACCTCCACCTCTCTCTCCTCCACCTCCACCTCCTCCTCCTCCACCTCCTCCTCCACTCCTCCACCTCCACCTCCTCCTTCTCACCTCCTCCTCCACCTCCTCCTCCTCCTCCTCTCCTCTCCTCCACCTCCTCCTCCTCCCCCTCTCCATCCTCCTCCACCTCCTCCTCCACCTCTCCTCCTCCTCTCTCTCTCACCACCTCCACCTCCACTCCCCCTCCACCTCCTCCTCTCCTCCTCCTCCACCCTCCTCCTCCTCCCTCCTCCACTCCTCCACCTCCACCTCCTCCTCCTCCACCTCCACCTCCTCCTCCTCCACCTCCTCCTCCTCCTCCACCTCCCACCTCCTCCTCCTCCTCCTCCACCTCCACCTCCTCCACCTCCACCTCCTCCTCCACCTCCACCTCCTCCTCCTCCACCTCCACCTCTCACCTCCTCCTCCTCCACCTCCTCCTCCTCCACCACCTGTCCTCCTCCTCCTCCTCCACCTCCACCTCCTCCACCTCCTCCTCCCCTCCACCTCCTCCTCCTCCTCCCTCCACCTCCTCCTCCTCCTCCACCTCCACCTCCTCCACCTCCTCCTCCTCCTCTCCTCCACCTCCACCTCCTCCTCCACCTCCACCTCCTCCACCTCCTCCTCCTCCTCCACCTCCTCCACCTCCTCCTCCTCCTCCACCTCCTCCACCTCCTCACTGCTGGGAACAACTCTAACTCTCTCTCTGCCTTTGTCTTTGTCTCTTTCTCTGTGTCTGTCTCTCTCTGTCTCTCTCTCTCTCTCTCTCTGTGTGTGTCTCTTTCTCTCTGTCTCCCTGTTTCTCTCTCTCTCTCTGTTTCACTCTGTTTATCTCTCTCTCTTTTTGTCTTTCTCTCTGTTTCTCTCTTTTTACCTCTGTCTCCTTTTCTCTCTCTCTCTTTTTGTCTTTCTGTCTGTCTCTTTGTGTCTCTCTGTCAGTTTCTCCGTCTCTCCCTCATTGTCTCTCTCTCTCTTCTCTCTTTCTCTCTCTCTCTTTCTCTGTAGTTGGTAGAATTTGTAGACGTCCCACTTCAAACAGTCACAGTGTGCAGAATCCTCTCTCTCTCTCTCTTTCTCTCTTTCTCTTTGTCTTTGTCTCTGTGTGTCTCTTGAAACTGCAGGGGGCGCTGTGGGGGGTTTCAGACGTGTCACTGCAGACTGGAAAAACAACACACACAGAAACCTGGTTTAGACCTGGTTTAGTCCTGGTTTAGACCTGGTTTAGTCCTGGTTTAGACCTGGTTTAGTCCTGGTTTAGACCTGGTTTAGACCTGGTTTAGACCTGGTTTAAACCTGGTTTAGACCTGGTTTAGACCTGGTTTAGACCTGGTTTAGTCCTGGTATAGACCTGGTACAGACCCGGCCTAAACCTTGGACTAAACCAGGACTAAGCCAAAGACTAAACAGAGCTGAACCAGGACTAAAACTTGGACTAAAACTTGTTCTAAACCAGAAATAAATCAGGACTAAATGTAGGGCTAATCCTTGGACTAAACAAGGACTACACCAGGACTAAACCAGAGACTTAAACCAGGACTAAACCAGAGACTTAAACCAGGACTAAACCAGAGACTTAAACCAGGACTAAACCAGAGACTTAATCCAGGACTAAACCAGAGACTTAATCCAGGACTAAACCAGAGACTTAATCCAGGACTAAACCAGAGACTTAATCCAGGACTAAACCAGAGACTTAATCCAGGACTAAACCAGAGACTTAATCCAAGACTAAACCCAGGACTACACCAGTTTTACACCAGGACGAAACAAGGACTAAACCTTGGACTAAACCTTGGACTAAACCAGATCTAAACCAGGACTAAACCCAGGATTAAAAACGGGACAAAACCAGGAACTAGACTAGGACTCATTCACTAGGACTTGATCTGTTCTCTACTGGGACTCAAGACCAAACCCAGACTTTACCAGGACTAAACCAGGACTAAACCCGGAATAAGATGGTTTATTCCTGGTTTAGACCTGGTTTAGACCTGGTTCAGTCCTGTTTTAGACCTGGTTCAGTCCTGTTTTAGACCTGGTTCAGTCCTGTTTTAGACTGGTTCAGTCCTGGTTCAGTCCTGTTTTAGTCTTGGTTCAGTCCTGGTTCAGTCCTGGTTTAGTCCTGGTTCAATCCTGGTTTAGACCTGGTTCAGTCCTGTTTTAGACCTGGTTTAGTCCTGGTTTAGTCCTGGTTTAATCCTGGTTTGTCCTGTTTTAGTCCTGGTTAGTCCTGGTTTAGACCTGGTTTTAGTCCTGGTTTAGTCCTGGTTTAGTCCTGGTTTAATCCTGGTTTAGTCCTGGTTTAGTCCCAAGTAAAAACCAGTTCCCTCTCTGCTCTCTTCAGCTCTGGCGCTTTTATATTTTATTTTAATAATCTTGGACTCGTTCTGCAAAATCCAATATTAAAAGACGTTTAAACTTTTCTAACAACGTGAAACTTTTAAAAATTCTTTCTTTTTGGTCCAAAGCAAAACGATTTTCTGGACTAAATTATAAATGAAGAGTTTGAAGAGTCTGAAGTGTTTGGTCCAGTGACGCGGCTCGAGCCAGATGTTTCACAGATTATTCTCCCCGACTTTAATCTGCCCACGTCAAACAGGGATTAAACCAGGACTGAACCAGGACTGAACCAGGACTGAACCAGGACTAAACCAGGACTGAAACAGGACTAAACCAGGACTAAAACAGGACTAAAACAGGACTGAACCAGGACTGAACCAGGACTGAACCAGGACTGAACCAGGACTGAACCAGGACTAAACCAGGACTGAACCAGGACTGAACCAGGACTGAACCAGGACTGAACCAGGACTGAACCAGACTGAACCAGGACTGAACCAGGACTGAACCAGGACTAAACCAGGACTGAACCAGGACTAAAACAGGACTAAACCAGGTCTAAAACAGGACTGAACCAGGACTAAACCAGGACTGAACCAGGTCTAAAACAGGACTGAACCAGGACTAAACCAGGACTGAACCAGGTCTAAAACAGGACTAAACCAGGACTGAACCAGGACTGAACCAGGACTAAAACAGGATTAAACCAGGACTGAACCAGGACTAAAACAGGACTGAACCAGGACTGAACCAGGACTAAAACAGGACTGAACCAGGTCTAAAACAGGACTGAACCAGGACTAAACCAGGTCTAAAACAGGACTAAACCAGGACTGAACCAGGACTAAAACAGGACTGAACCAGGTCTAAAACAGGACTGAACCAGGACTAAAACAGGACTGAACCAGGACTAAACCAGGAACCAGGACTAAACCAGGACTGAACCAGGACTAAACCAGGACTGAACCAGGACTAAAAACAGGACTGAACCAGGACTAAACCAGGACTAAAACAGGACTAAACCAGGACTGAACCAGGACTAAAACAGGACTAAACCAGGACTAGACCAGGACTAGACCAGGACTAGACCAGGACTAGACCAGGGTTAGACCAGTTCACGTTGTTTGTGCCTTAGTTCTTGCTCATCTGTGAGTCTGGACCAGAATAGAGCAGCTTTACCCTGGACTCTGAATTATTTACACCACTGCTGAGGAGAGACGCACACGGGAACTTTACAGACCAGGATCTGGTCCAAGTCCAAGTCCAGATCCAAGACCAGCTTCTATATTATGACCACAAACAAGTCCAGACCCAAAACCCAAGTCCAGACCCAAAACCCAAGTCCAGACCCAAAACCAAGAAGTCCAGACCCAAAACCTAAGAAGTCCAGACCCAAAACCAGCCACGACATTACGACCACGAACTAGTCCAGACCCAAACCAGCTTCTATATTATGACCACAAACAAGTCCAGACCCAAAACCCAAGTCCAGAACCAAAACCTAAGAAGTCCAGACCCCAAACCAAGTCCAGACCCAAAAACCAGCCAACCACATTACGACCACAAACAAGTCCAGACCCCAAACCCAACACCAGACCCAAACCCAAGTCCGACCCAAACCAAGTCCAGACCCAAACCCAAGTCCAGACCCCAAAACCCAAGTCCAGACCCCAAACCCAAGTCCAGAACCAAAACCCAAGTCCAGAACCCAAGTCCAGAACCAAAACCAGCTACGACATTACGACCACAAACTAGTCCAGACCCACAACCCAAGTCCAGACCCACAACCCAAGTCCAGACCCAGACCCAAACCCAAGTCCAGACCCAACCCAAGTCCAGACCCCAAACCCAAGTCCAGACCCCAAACCCCAAGTCCAGACCCCCAAACCCCAAGTCCAGACCCAAAACCAGCCAGAACATTATGACACGAACAAGTCCACCCAAAACCCAAGTCCAGACCCAAAACCCAAGTCCAGACCCAAAACCCAAGTCCAGACCCACAACCCAGAGTCCAGACCCACAACCCAAGTCCAGACCCAAACCCAAGTCCAGACCCAAACCCAGTCCAGACCCACAACCCAAGTCCAGACCCAAAACCCAAGTCCAGACCCACAACCCAAGTCCAGACCCAAAACCCAAGTCCAGACCCAAAACCCAAGTCCAGACCCAAAACCCAAGTCCAGACCCAAAACCCAAGTCCAGACCCAAAACCAGCCAGAACATTACGACCACAAACAAGTCCAGACCCTGAACTTGTTCTGAAAATCCAACACGAAACACTAGTTTAATCACTATTTTACCTTTTATTGTTTGTCTCGTGTGTTTGACGCCGTGGACGAACGGGACAAAAATACTTGACGCGCGTCCGTTGCCCTGGAAACAAGAGTCGGTCCTGGACTTTTCCCGAAACAATGTCAGACCAAACTGAGAGACTTTAGTGTTTTTATGACATAAAACATCAGCGGAGGAAATCGAGTCAACGACTGGAGCGAGTTTATATTTATACTCCACTACACTGCCAGTCCTTGGTGTCTACTGGTCTAGTCGTCTAGTCCTGGTCTATAGTCTAGTCCTGGTCTAGTCCTGGTCTAATACTGGTCTAGTCCTGGTCTAATACTGGTCTAGTCCTGGTCTAGTCCTGGTCTAATACTGGTCTAGTCCTGTGGTCTAATCCGTGGTCTTGTTTAGTCCGTCCCTTGTTTAGTCCCGGTCTAGTCCTCCCGGTCTAGTCCTTGTTTAGTCCTAGTCCTGTTTAGTCCGGTCTAGTCCTTGTTTAGTCCGTGGTCCTTGTTTAGTGGTTTAGTCCTTGTTTAGTCCGTCTAGTCGGTCTAGTCCTGGTCTAGTCCTGGTCTAGTCCTGGTCTAGTCCTCGTGATCGTCTCGTTGATTGTGGTGTAGGGGTGGGCGATATATCGATATTTTAAATATATCGAGATAGTTTTTAAACTCGATATGAATTCTGACATATCGTATATATCGATATAATGTTTATATTCAGTTTTGATTTCGCCGCTTCACTTGTTTATCTTCTCTCTCGTCGTCTCCCTGATGTTGTTGCTCGTGTCTCCTTCACTCGTCACTGTCGTCCTGAACGCTGAAAGTTGGTGCCAGTGAAAAGCTTCAAGCCCCACGAACCTTTTCCACCATTTACAGACAAAACCACCAGCAGCTCATCCTCATGTTCCACCGAGTCGCGTCCTTTAGTCTGAAAGAAGCTGAACGAGCTGAGCTGCAGGAGAAGTGCTGATTATGTAAATGAGCCATGTGCTTAAAGGTTGTATAGAAGATTTTCCAATGAAAGAGAAATGCAGCGACTGTTTTTCAAATGTTGCGTTTCACTCCACTTCCCCTTCTCTTCTTCTTTCAGCGATGTCAAAAACAGACTTTATTTCGCGGTGAACCAGTCGTGGATTCTTGTCCGCCGTTACAACAAATTTTGTGCAAACTGAGAGGAAGCTACAGTTCGAAAAAGACGCTAAGAAACGCTGTTTTGGTCGAGTAAACAGCATCAGTGCGTGAGAGTCGAACGTAAACCACGTAATCCAAGTGCGCCAGCAAGTCAGTGACGCTAGAAACGTACACAGTTTGATTGACAACCCAACAGCCAATGGATAAAGAGGTGACCTTGTTATCTATTGGCTGATGTTTATCTGCCACCACCACGTCCACAGCTGATAGATTTTCATTCTTTTTTTTACTGTCATCATAATTACAAGGCTGCTGCATCTCTATAATTCTATTTTGAACTTTCATCGACAACTTGAAACAAAAAAAAAATCCTCCATACAACCTTTAAGTTTCGTTTCTGTAAAATGTAAACACACGTGCGCAAAACTGTATTAAACACATTATTATCTCAAACGGGCTGATGTGGCTCTAGAGTCGTTATGTTTATATGTTGTAAAGTTTATTTATGCAGAATATTTTAATGAATAATCTGCTGCAGTGTCACTTGTACAACAGTGTTTGGAATCGTTGGGTTTGATCTGCAGTGGATTGTGGGATTAAACCTCAGATCCTGACGCTGGAACATGGATCTATTAAAATAAAGAACATCCTGAGTTTCTTCTGCTAAATGAGCTCATGGTTCTGGTTCTGGTTTGGAGAACAGAGTTAATACAAAGATGAGCTTGTGTTGAGTTGTTTTATTTATGAATGAAAAGAAGGAAATATGTTTTATTTCTTTTATTTAACAGTTAAATTATTATTTTTTGTAATCTTAAATGTTCCTGTATGAACTGCCGACCTCTTACACTTTAATAAAAAAAAAAAAAAGACCTTGTGGAATTTGGCAGATTTGTTTTTGCAGTTTTCAGTTTTAGGCGGTTATTTTTTCTTGCACAGATATCGAGATAAATATCGTATATCGAGATATAGCAAAATATATCGAGATCCATATCGCCCAGTCCTATTGTGGTGTATATATTTATTCTCCGCTCATGTTTGTGTTTCTCGTTCTGGTTCTGGGGTTTTTCTTCCTGATAATGACGTCGCTGCGTCTCTGGATACTCGTCCCTGATTGGTCGACGCGGCGAGTCTGACGCGAAAAGTTCAGCATTTTCAACTCGTCCACGTCGACTTTTTTTTATTTATTTTTTTTATGTATGATTTATTTATGCTTTTTCAAAATATAAAAGACAAATTATATAAAGATGTATAATATTCAAGGCTGGTATACAATGTAAATACTTCACAATTTACACACCTTTAAAAAAAAACAAAAAAACAAAAGAAAAACAAAAAAAACAGAAAAAGGGCCTACAAAAAAAAAAAAAAAAAAACAGAATATGTGCGACTATAACATTTGTCTTAGATTATATCAATGTCCACGTCGAATTTACACAGAAACTGGACGATTTGACGCTTTGGTGTGAACGAACCTTTAAACAAAAAATATTACATCATATTTATTTATTTTGAGGGAAAAAAGAGCAGATTTATTCGTCCTTTTTTCAGATTCTTCTCCTCCGAACGGACAGAACGACGGATCCAACAAACCTCCTGTAATGACCCAGCACTTCTCTCTCTCTCTCCTCTTTCTCTCTCTCTTCTGTGCGTTGAGTTCACCCCTCCTTTTTTCCCCGTCCTCCGCTCTTCATTTCATCCATCTCCATCCATCTCTCCTCTCTCTCTTTTTGTTTCATCCTCCTCTCTTCATTTCACCATCTCTCTCTTCTTCTCTCTCTTCTCTCTCTTTCCCTCTCTTTTCTCCTCTCTCTTGCTTCTTTCCCCTCTCCTTCTCTCCTCTCCTTCTCTCCTCTTCCTCACTGTCACTCCTCGCTCCCTCTCTCCCCTCTCTCTCTCCTCTCCTCTTTCTTCTCTCTCTCTCTCCTTCTTTCTCTCCTGCAGCTCCACTCGTTTAAACACACCTCCCTCCTCTCCTCTTTCGTTCTGTTTCCTCTCCCCCTCTTTCTTCTCCTCTTTATCTCCTCTTTCTTCTTCTCTCTCTCTTTAACTCCTCTTCTCTTCTTTCTCTCCTCTTTCTTCTCTTTCTTTATCTCCTCTTCCCATCTCTTTCTCTCCTCTTCCCTTCTTTCTCTCCTCTCCTCTTTCTTCTCTCTTTCTCTCCTTCTTTCTCTCCTGCAGCTCCACTTCGTTCTGTTTCCTCTATCCCTCTTTCTCTCCTCTCTTTCTTTCTCTCCTCTTTCTTTCGCTCCTCTTCCCCTCTCTTTCTCTCCTCTCCTCTTTGTTCTCTCTTTCTTTATGTCCTTGTCCCCTCTTTTTCTCTCCTCTTCCTGTCTTTCTTTCCTCTCCTCTTTCTTCTCCTCTCTCTCTTTACCTCCCTCTTCCCTTCTTTCTCTCCTCTTTCTTCTCCTCTCTCTTTACCTCCTCTTCCCTTCTTTCTCTCCTCTCTTTCTTTCTCTCCTCTTCCCCCTCTCTCCTCTTTCTTCTCCTCTCTTTCTTTATCTTGTCTTCCCCTCTTTTTCTCTCATCTCGCTCTTTCTCTCCTCTTCCCTTCTTTCTCTCCTCTTCCCCCTCTCTCCTCTTTCTTCTCCTCTCTTTCTTTATCTCGTCTTCCCCTCTTTTTCTCTCATCTCGCTCTTTCTCTCCTCTTCCCTTCTTTCTCTCCTCTTCCCCCTCTCTCCTCTCTTCTCTCTCTCTCTTCTCTTTCTCTCTCTCTCTCTCTTTCTCTCCTCTTCCTCCCTCTTCCTCTTTCTTCTCCTCTCTCTCTCTTTACCTCCTCTTCCTTCTTTCTTCTCTCCTCTTCTTCTCTCTCTTCTCTCTCTCTTTACTCTCCTCTTCCCTCTCTTTCTTCTCCTCTCTTTCTTTCTCTCCTCTTCCCCCTCTCTCCTCTTTCTTCTCCTCTCTTTCTTTATCTCGTCTTCCCTTCTTTCTCTCCTCTTTCTTCTCCTCTCTTTCTTTATCTCGTCTTCCTCTCTTTTTCTCTCATCTCGCTCTTTACCTCCTCTTCCCTTCTTTCTCTCCTCTTTCTTCTCCTCTCTCTATCTTTATCTCCTCTTCCCTTCTTTCTCTCCTCTCTTTCTTTCTCTCCTCTTCCCCCTCTCTCTCCTCTTTCTTCTCTCTCCTCCTCTTCTCCTCTCTCCTTCTTTCTCTCCTCCGCAGCTCCAATTGTTTAAACTCCTCCTCCTCTCCTCTCTCCTTCTTTCTCTGGTGCAGCTCCTCTCGTTTAAACGCACCTCCCTCCCTCCCTCGTTCGCTCCCTCGTTCGCTGCACTCGTTTAATCGCTCCTCTTGTTTCCTGTTTTAATCCTCCTCTCTTTCGCTTTCTCTTCCTCTCGTTCTTTCTCTCCATTAGTCCGGACACAGATCTGCTGCCTCAGGGATATTCGAGTCCTTCTCTTCTTCTCCTCTTTTCTCTCTCTCTCTCTCTCTCTTTTCTCTCCGTCTCTTCTTACCGTCTCGTTTGTCCCGCTCTCTCCATCTTCTCTTCTTTTGCTGCGTCTTTTTCTCTCTCTCTCCTTTCTCCATCTTCTAATTTGTCTAGTTTGTCTCGTCGTTTTCCGTCATCCTCTCTTCATTTTGCTCTCTCTCTCTTCCCGCCCCATCCCCCTCTCCTCTCTTTCTTCTGCTCGTTTAGTTTATCCCTCCTTTTTCCATCCTCCTCTTTTTGTTTCACCAGCTCTCTCCTCTCTTTCTGTTTACTCTCTCTCTTCTCTTCATCTACTTTGTCCCTCTTTTTCCATCCATCTCTCTTCATACCATCTTTCTCTCTTTCTCTCTCATCCCCCTCTCCGTTCTCTTTGTCTAGTTTATCTCTCCTCTCCTGTCTCTCTCTCTCCCGTCTCTCTCT